GGGGGACCCTCCTCGCGCGGGGTCTCCCTCTCTGGAGCGTCTGGCCGGGCTTGCAGAAATGCCTCGTGGAGCGGGTGCACCCCAGGGTACCCGGTTCCTCTCCTTCACCTGGAGCCGGGGGGGCGGGGGGTGGGGAGGACTGGGGCTGGGAAAAGGCCAGCCCTCCTGCCTGCAGCGGGAAGGAAGCTGGGCCAGTGCATGCATAGCCCGGGGCCTGCGTCCCAGGGCCCTCTCTGCCCCCCGAGGACACGCAACCACTTTTTCCTGGCTCATGAGAACTAAAAGTTCCTGCTCAGGCCTTGGATGACACTTTAGAGGCCCCCTGCCCCAAATTCTGCATCTCAATGAATCCAGGGCTTTATTTCTAATGAAAATACGAGCATTGTCTCTAAATGAGTTATAGGTGCCGATGCCAGTGTTCTGTTGTTTGTCAATATTTTGACACATGAAGGATGGGTTTTGAGCAAGAAAACCTAATTACAGGTTATAGTGAAGACTTGTTTTGTTGCATACCTCACTGATTTGGAGACGTTTGACTGCTTTGAATGGGGTTCTCATGTGGGTGTCCTTATTGGTCACTGTGTTTTTTTTGTTTGTTTGTTTCAGTTGCTCTTGGCCCAGTATTCTGTTGTGTTTTTATATTCATTCTCCAGGTTACTTGTCCACTTTTATTTTCCTCTTTATTCTTCTGTTTTACCCGAAGTAAGAGGTTTGTGTTCTTTCTCCCCGACTTGATTTGTTCATGCCCATTTTTAATCCCCAGCGCTGCTTTATCTTTCTATATTTTTATTTTGTTTTTCAGAAGTGAGTCCTTTTCCTGTTTTCTGTATTTTGCTTAACTCATTTGCATAACCTCAGTTCCACTGTGTTCATTCGGGTTTTTCCCTCTCCTTTTTCGGTCCAGTTTAGTCTTTACTCTCATCTTGCTTTCTCTTGTCAGTGGTTGCTGGCTTTCAGTCTGTTACTTCCTTTTATACACAATAAATCTGCCCCTCTCATTTCCACTTTTACCCATAGTTTTATTTTAACCTTGCTTTTTCCTTCTTTTCTCTGCACTAGTCACTTGCTATCCTGCCCATAGTCTTTCCTACTCTGGCACTTTCCTTGCTGCTTTCTTTCACAAGTAGTTTTCTTTTTCTTTTTTTCCTTTCTCATTGTGTTCTAAATGCTCTCTTTTAGTGTTTCTTCTAATAACCTATTTAGTCTACTTTGTCTCTGTCCCCAGGTGGAAATCACATCACTGAATCTAAAGAAGTGAAAAGGGGCTTGTTGATGGCCCCTTTCTTTTATTGTCAAGGCTTCTTTTTTCTTTCCTTTTTTTCTTTTTAGAGAGAGAGAGAGGTCATAGAGTGGTAAGTTTGATAACACCAAAGGTCAGGATACCACGTGCTTGGTCTGGGGGGAAAAAATAGCCCATGGTACTAGACATCACGAATTGTGGTCCTATTAATCACTGATGGACAAGGCCATCTCCTAACAGGCACAGTGATGTGAGTGACCATCAGAGGGACAGTCACCTGAAGTGCTGATTGGCTTGTTGATGAACTAGTGGTTCCACTTTGAACCAATGAGCATGTGTGCTCAGAGGGATGACCATTTAAGCATACTGAGTGGGGGTGGGGGTGGTCATGTATTTGTTGCCCCCTAACAAAAGTGTTATTGCAATTCTCTCAAGCCACCTAGTAAAGAAAACTGGAAATAGTCAGAACATGCTTAAATGAGTCAAGTACAGAAGAAGGGGGATAAGAGTGTCCAGAGTAAATGCAGTGAGAAGATGAAAGGCTTGAAGTGAATCTCGTTTGTCATTAAGGGCCATAAACCATTGAGAAGAGAAATATGTGATTAAAAATAGATTTTTTTCAACATTCTTAAAAAATATCATGAAGAGTGTACTAGTAATTTTCCTTAAAAGGGGTGAATATACCATGGTTTTAAAAGCATGTTTTTCCTCTGTGGGAGGCTTAGAGTTAAAACCCACGTAGATCTTGATATGCAGCCTAAATTTGGCATCAGGAAATGGGAAATTGCATCTTTAAGCAGAGTACAATCAAAAATGAATTACAATAAATCCTATATAATTGCATAGGTCATTCTCTTTAATGAGATTTTATTAACCTGACTGTCAAGCTTTTGAGTCAGGCAGATATTTTATCTTCTTCAACTGATAAAAGTGTCAGCTATAAACCACCATATAAATATTCATAAATCTACACATCTGTGGCAGCCTATCAGCATCATTCTTTTGGACATTAAAAGCATTCTAATTACTTTCTGTCTAGCAGAGCTGAAATGCTGCCTGTTATAGTATGTGCTTGGCAGGCATGATTGCTTTTGTTTGCCATCACAAATAGCAGCATCCTATTTTATATACCGATGGTCCAGAAAATATTCAGGGATTGACTGAGCAGGATGAGTATTAGGGAGCACCATCTGGTTTTGATAGCACCAAGTATATTAACTCATCTGTTAATTTTTGACACATCATTGATTTATTTATTTAGAAAAATTGCATCCTGTTTTGCTGTGTTGATGTTTGCCATTACGGAAAAAAAATAGGATGGCATTTTTTTAAAAAGACATAGTTCATTGATTTAAGACAAGGGTGATGCTTCCAAAGAGGCTTTCATTTTCTAACTTTCTATGCCATGACGTCCTTTCTTAAAAAGAAGTTATATTACTGTCTTAAGGAAATGAATCTATTTTGAACTAGCTGGAAATCCTTTGGGTAGATATACTAAGTAAATACATAATATTAGGTCACAATAATTTTTTTCGGCTTCTGCATTTTTAATATTAATAGATGTCACCCTTGGCTGGGCTAAAATCAAAAGGTTACCACTAATCTCAACTACTGTGATCTCCTTCATAGAAACAGAATACTCTTGGGGATATGCTGTGATGGACAAATTCCACCCAAGGCTTTGCTTACAAAGAAGCACATTAAAGTAGGGACCCTGTGTTTGATTGCTGACTTCCTATCTGTCTTATTCACTTACAGATTTAAGATGGATTAAACCACTTAAATTCAGAAAAGTTTCTAGAAATGAAAATTTTTAATTAAAAAAATAACCATGGGTTCAGATTCTGGAATCAGATTAGGTGCAATTTGCCCCCTGATATCTCCCAATAGACTGCACAATAAAGCAAAATAAGTTAGACAGAAGTGGTCATTGTAGGGTGGTTTGTGACTGACATTATATGTGTCTATCAGAGAAGTTAGGGATAAAATTGTAAACTGATGACTTTGTACTTCTCGGCCATCATCTGAGTGGAGCATTCTGTGACTAGAGGGGAAAAACAGTTTAAAAATTCAAAATACACGTTCACACTTTGCACAATTAAGAATCATGGATCAGTGGCCATTCAAATGCGTGCATATGAAAACAACTTTTCTCCATTTCTTAGCGATAACGGGCATAGCACAACACTTGCATTTCTAATTATATTCTGTCTGGAAAGCTGAAGTATTGCTGGCTGCAGAATGTATTAAGTGGAAAGATTTACTGTTTTCTACCAAGTGTAATAGTAATATTTTTCATCACACTCATCAATGTATTGATATTAAAACTATTCAAATATTTTAACATACTGAAAAGAGAAGAAATTCCATTTTAACACTTATAGTTGCTGTTTTTGCATATGTCAAGTCTGAGAATGCAGCATTTAAAAAAACTGCAGGCAAAAACTTATTTATGGTTGTAGCTATTCTCTGATATTCTGAGTGCACTTTAATACATTATCTTCATAATGTAGGGTATTACATAATGATTTCTTTTTCAGCATATTATGAGTTTATCCTTCAATTAAGAAAACAAATCATACTTGTCCCTAAGTCAGATTCTTTTCCCTTAAATCTTTACCCTAATGTGATTTATCAATATGATTAAAACTACTGAGTCTTATGTAGGATAGTGAACAAATATATTGAGCAATTTTTTCTAGACAATTCTATTTTAGCCTTCCCTTTCATATTTTGTTCCTTTCATCAAGGTTATGTTAACAGTGTATAGGCTGTAAATCAATTGGGACTATGCTGATTAAAATGCAAACAGTAAATACAACTTCAGGTCTAGAATGGGATTATAGGATTAAAATGAATGAAAACTGCTAGTGTGCTAGAATTGAAAATTCCCAATCAATATCATCCTTTGATTTTACTAATAAAAGAACAAAAACCCCCAAGTAAAGAAATGAAGAGGCAACATCTTAACCCACCCCAGTTAAATGGTTCAGCTGTTTACTATCTTGTTTTTGGTCATAGTGAAGAAATGATACCCACATATTTGAGGTCTTTCCCCCATTAAGTTTTTATTTAAATCATGGGCTCAATTCTTCACTCCACCTGGCAGGGGACAGAAGCATCGTCAGTTCCGGTGGTTGGTGTGGAGATGCTTGCCACATCCATAGCCCTTTTTCTCCAAGGCAGGAAACAGACTACCTTGGTAGCTTCTTCAGCCAAGTTCCCAGCCCATCAATCCATTCTGGCTTGAAACTATGCCTGGCATCTGGTTCCTTCTTTAGCCCTCAAACTAGTGGTGTAAAACAACAGACCTTTGTCTATTATTTGTGGGATTCAGGACAGGAGTACAAATGCAAGCCCACATATCATAGATCTAAATAATTAAAAGACCTACTCAAGCTAACAAACAAAAATATGTTCTATCTGCCTACCCTGGCAAAGACACCATCATCATGACCACATTTGACTTTCAGCCAGCCCATGGCCTTCTGTTGCCACCCCCAGCGTCATCTTCCTGTAGCAGGGACCTCATATGCACACACGTATGGATGCCCCAGTTCAAACTTCCAAGCTCTGGCGCCATGGTCTGTCTTTGGGAAGATGGCTCAGGGAAGAGACCAGCCCTTGGAGCAGTTTGACCAGGGAATTCCATTCCTTACTGTGGGGAGAGTGTGGGCTAGAGGGGGAGGATCTAGGCAGGGGCCCTCCTGCCCGTGTCTAGGGCAGTACTACTCCTAAGAGTGAGGAAGCACCAGGCCAAGAAGAAAATACTCCTGTGGCCTCCCAGCCCGCTTAGAGGCGTCTTGCCACCCCCACCCAAGTCAATCTGAAACTGCTATGAACTGAGATCCTCTGTTTGTTTACAGGAGTCCCTCATGCATTCAGTAAATGTTTCTTGAGGTACCATGCCGGCCCTTGGACCCCAGTGCACTCCATCCCACTATGCTCATGGAAAGTAGTCTCTCTTCCTCTCCTGAACCTAAGAGCGCCGGCCTCTGTGCACTGACTTCTGATTGTTTCAGGGGGATCTGGGAACGGTAGCATTGTATGGATTTGGGAGATATGAGGGGTGCTTCCTGTATGCCAGGTATATTGAAACAGGAGACGTGGACCCCCCTCCAATTCTCCCAGTACCTTAATTACTTTAGGAAAGAATAGTAAGAAAAAAGCATCCTGGCTGGTTTGGCTCAGTGGATAGAACATCAACCTGTGGACTGGAGGGTCCTGGGTTTGATGCTGGCAAGGGCATGTACCTGGTTTCAGGTTCGATCCCCCGCCCTGGTCAGGGCACTTGCGGAGGCAACCAGTTCAAGGGATGGATGAGTCTCTCTCACATCAAAGTTTCTCTCTCCGTCTCTCCCCCTCCCTTCCACTCTCTAAAAACGAAATCAGTGGAAAATATCCCCAGGTGAGGATTAACAAAAAATAAATAAATAAATAAATAAATAAATAAAAATTTAAAGAAAAAAGCAAAGTGGAGCATGGAGATTTCTGAAGGGTGGTTTCATTGGTCATATGTCCTGGATTTCTGGAGAAATCAATTTCTAATCACAACTCTTATGGTTCCTTGTTCCCATAGAAGCCCTGGAGGATCTCACCATTTTTCATTTTAAAAGTTGTGGGGGTTTTGTTTACTTGTTTGTTTTCAGGGGAAAAATATAGCTAGTCAACATGTTCAGAGACAGCAAGTAGCTGGTTACACACTATCATAAAACAGCAGTTATTGACACCAAAAATCTACAATATTTTGTTTGTTGCCATTATTCGGGGGTGGAGGTCTGGGAGGGAGAGGCTTCCTCATACCACTCCGTAGGCCCTAAAACGTCTCTCTCTCTCTCTCTCTCTCTCTCTCTCTCTCTCTCTCTCTCTCTCGACTTAAAAGTAGCTCATCCATGCTGGGTGGTGGTCAGGAAAGAAGGGACTCTACTTTGTGACATTTATATTTAGGATGAATTTTCCAGACGTTTAGACTGACAATATTAAATCACATTTCCACCGTTTCGGAGTTTTTTTTCCCCTTTGTTTTTTTTCAGTGAATTGATTGCTTTCTCTTTGCTCTTTGCTTTCGCCGATTAACAGTTAATATGCTTTAGAATTCGTGTATGTGAACTGGCATTCTGAGCACATGCCATTTTGGGAGATGTGGCACCCTGACAGAAGAGGCACTGCTGCTTTTCAGATGACGCTGACAGAGATCAGCCTAAACGCTGGCCTTGACGAGAAATCCAAGTTGGCAGATAAATTAAAAGAAGGAGTAGTGGGCACAGACACTGGATAGCACGTACAGTGTTGCTCTGGGGCTCCTCATGGTGTGCCTGATGGGCCCACTCTTTGTTTTATCTTAGACGTCTAGTGAGCTCTTCAAAAAGACTTATCTTTCTTCTCCATTTGTATCTGGGAGCAACGTACTCTCGGCAGGGATTGTACCAGCTGATTAATAGCAAGGGCGAGAGGGCACTCCAGAAATAGAAGTAATGATTGCTCTAAGCCCTCCTATCAATGAGAAATCGAGTCTGCAGTGGCTGGCTCGATTCATTAGAGTAACGACATTAATGAAGCCATAGGTGCGAGTTCAGACCTGTGCAGGCCAGTTCATGCCACAGGGAGGGGAGTCTCTCTACGGGGCCCAAAGGCACACAGTCCAGAGGCAGGGGCTGGGGACAGCTCATCAGGCACCCCACCAGTCAGAACAGCAGGAAGCTGCGCATCTTGTTAAAAGTGCATTCTCCGTGCCACCTTGATATGCGATGGTAGAAATGCGTATTTCTAACATTTTTTAATGTTAAACCCAAAATTGGGGACTTGGCTTATCTCTTGTCTTTGGCTGCTGGTCTCTAATGTGTCTTTTCCTGCGTTTCAGAGAGTCGCATGATCTTGGATGCCTTTGCCCAGCAGTGCAGTCGAGTTCTTAGCCTGCTAAATTGTGGAGGCAAACTTCTGGACTCCAACCATTCTCAGTCCATGATTTCTTACGTCAAGCAGGAGGGCTCAAGTTACACTGAAAGACAGGACCCGTGTCACGTGGGGAAAGGGGTCCACAGTCAGACTTCGGACAATGTAGACATAGAGATGCAATATATGCAAAGGAAACAACAAACTTCTGCCTTTTTGAGAGTTTTCACTGACTCCCTACAAAATTACCTGCTCTCGGGGAGCTTTCCAACTCCGAACACCTCATCGGTCAGCGAGTACGGCCACCTGGCCGACGTGGACCCTCTGTCAACCTCCCCCGTGCATACACTGGGAGGCTGGGCCTCCCCGGCAACGTCTGAGTCCCATGGTCACCCGTCGTCTTCTACGCTGCCCGAAGATGAAGAGGAGGAGGAGGAGGAAGGCTACTGTCCCAGATGCCAAGAGCTGGAGCACGAGGTCATTTCACTGCAACAAGAAAATGAAGAGCTCAGAAGGAAACTAGAGAGCATCCCAGGTACCCTGTCATGTTACTTCCAGGACAACTGCAACTTCTTTCTTTCCGTTGTCTCATCTGTGTGTGTGTATGCATGCATGTATATATGTTGTTTGTTTGTTTTTGGCCAGCGATGTAGAAGAGTTGGAACAACAGGTATGCACAGGGTACCCTTAAGCCTGCCTGTGCCAAACAGAAACTTCAGGATGAGCCACTAGCCTTGTCCTGTCTGTGTTTAAGCCACATAATTCTTGGGTATAGGCCTGAAGGCCATAGTCCCATTGAAAGATGTCTCTGTTGATATAAAAGTGATCCCTAGGTGTGGTATAGTGAGATGGAAATAGGCCGAGTACTGTGAGCCTGAGTTTCCTTTAAAAAAAACGGCCCTGTTCCTTTAAAATGCCTTTTGTATTTTTACAGACATTGATATATGTGTTTTATTAATCAGTGATAGAAATTAAAATGAAATGCTACCTTCAGAGAGACAGGGCTCGAGTAGTAATGAACAGATAAACTCTTCTAGTCCTTTAGTTTCTCACCTTTCCTGTTAAGTTTCAACAGGCAGGGTCTCTTTTTAGCATGCAAACTCCTCCGTACAGTTAATAAGCAGCTGTAAGCTAAAAGGAATAGATCGAAGACAGACCAGTAATTAGGCTGATCCCAAACTATTTGTGCCCCTGGCAAAATATGAGGCATTTTCTGCCTCTTAGAGACACTAGATTTGCAGAAAAGTCATCTTTATGGCAAGGTACTGATTGTGCTTATGTGTTTGAATTCATGCCTGCATGTCTGTGGCTGACAAAAGATATTAAGCCCTGGCCAGTGTGGCTCAGTTGGTTGGAGTGTTGTCCTGTGCACCCAAAGGTTGCTGGTTTAATTCTCCGTCAGGGTGCCTTCAGTCAGGTGCATATGGGAGGCAACCAGTTGTTTCTCTCCCCTCTCTCTCCTCTCCCCTCTCCCTTCTCCTCTCTCCCTAAAAAAAAAGAAAAAAAAATATATATATATACACATTTTCTTAAAAGATATTAAGATCATTAGCTAGAACAGTATCTTCAAACCTCTTTAATTACACAGCCATTGATAAAAAATTTTGAGCACCAATGTACACATTTATTGGTTAATTACATAGTACATGTTCTACTATACTAATACGTTATGTTCCAAATAAAGCATACATAATAAACTTAAATCTTTTAAAATCCTCACTTGAGGATATGTTTTATTGGTTGTTTTTGAGGGGGCAGGGAGAGAGAAACATTGATGTGAGATAAAAACATTGATGGTTGCTTCCCATATACACCCTGTCTGGGATGGAACCCACAACCTGGGTAAGGGATCAAACCTGCAACCTGTTAGTGGTACAGGACAACGGAGCCACCCAACCAGGGCTACGTTTAAATTTTTGAAAGCTGATACATAAATATAAACAGAAGTCACTTTTTTTCCTAACTCGGTGTCTTTGTGCCACCCAATTAGGCGGCTGAATCTAGAAAAGGCATGTTGAAAGAAGTCACCCACTTGTTTATTAGCACACGTGGGAAGCAAAAACAAGTGTGAAGAATTGCCAAATCAGAAATGTATTTCCTTTCTTTTTATTTAAAAGAACTTTCCAAGTAGACCTAAGGTTTGGTTCAGAATATTTTGGAATTAGATCTAATACAATAGTTTTATTGCCAAAACCGGTTTGGCTCAGTGGATAGAGCGTCGGCCTGCGGACTGAAAGGTCCCAGGTTCGATTCCGGTCAAGGGCATGTACCTGGGTTGCGGGCACATCCCCAGTAGGAGGTGTGCAGGAGGCGGCTGGTCGATGTTTCTCTCTCATCGATGTTTCTAACTCTCTATCTCTCTCTCCCTTCCTCTCTGTAAAAAAATCAATAAAATATATTTTAAAAAAAATAGTTTTATGGGAGAGAAGCAAGAGGTAAAGTAAATCCATTCTCTCTTTTGTGTTTGAGCCTTGGGGTTAGATACAGAGTCACGGTGTCTTCTGCCAGGTTGCCAGGTATCCCACCAGGTTGGCACTGACTGCAGGAGAGAGACTGGGTAGAACCTGCAAAACTATAATGGAACCAGAGCACTTCCAAGTCAGAGAGATATGGGTGCAGCTAACACATCGTGGGATTGTACAACTTTCACAGTTCCATAAATGATGGTCGATTAACTATGGGATTTTACCCCCAAAGCGGTATTTCCCATTTTACTCCCCACTCCTTCTCTTTCATTGAGGGAGAAAATCAAGACCAACCAATTGTGATACTTACATCAGCTATTCAGAACTGTGGGTAAGAGTTCTAGAGTGCAAGGACAGGTGACATAAATGTCCAGGGTATTATTGCCTAATTCGTAATCCTAAATATTTGGCAAACCGTCTGTCCTTGGTAAGTTCTAAGCAGATAGGGGGTTTCAGCCCACCTCTCATTTCCTGAATCTGTCCCAGATGAAGTGTCTATGTTGGGGATAACGCATCACAGACCTGCCACTAATCACTGTCCTTGTCTACTTCCCGGGAAGACAGAAATGCTGCAATTTCTTGACCCCCTCTTGACGCTCAGACATTGAATAGCACAGGTTGATATTAGCTAATTACTATTACTGTAAGCATTTCAGCCCTGTTGATAACCCTGAACTTGAACCAATAGACATTTTACATGGAGAACAATGGTTGTGTTAATAATCTATACTGAAACCCAGCTATAAAGATGAAAATCAGTTTGACTATTATGGATAGAAAAAAATTACTATAAAGGAAATGATTTATTTGTGATCACTTTATACATGTCCTCACTACCTGGGGACACCTTAGCATTGGGCATCAGGTGGAACGTGTCACTTGGAGCTGAAAACTCGACTCAAAAAGGGACATTATTGCCCTCTTGCCTTCATCTCCCAACTTCTGTTTTGGCTAAACAACCAACCAGACTGGTGATCACCCAAGAATCCACTTTTCACTCCATTAGCTATCTGTTTTGAGGGGGGGAATCTGTTATTTTTAGATACCCACTTGAAGAAAAGTGCAGCAAGTAGTACTCTGGGTTTGCATGTATCAAGAGTATTTTGCAAGTAGTAACTTTCCAGTGTAATGTGGGATCGATTTTCTCTAATCAGTGTCAGCTTCCCACTGGCCCCGGTAGGCCTCTGTTGTCCTGGAGGCCAGTGCATATGCATGGAAGGAGCTGGGACTTTCCGCTGGTGGAGCCTAGTTACAGCCAAGCAGGATGGATGATTCTAAAGGAGATGGTAGCATCCCGCAGTTAGCAGAGGAAATAAGGTTAACAGGGAGATGGGGCACCTGCTCTAGGTCAGAGCCAAGACACTTGCCTCAGCCACTTCTCTGCCTCTCCACAGTCATGCTGGTGAGCAGCACTGAGATTCTTGTTTTGTTGTTGTTGTTCCTGTTTTTCCTGAAATAAAGCATGAGTACCTGAGAGCAATTCTTCAGGTGAACGTTCAAAAGACATGAGCCTATGCAGTGGTTCTCAACCTTCTGGCCCTTTAAATACAGTTCCTCATGTTGTGACCCAACCATAAAATTATTTTCGTTGCTACTTCATAACTGTAATGTTGCTACTGTTATGAATCATAATGTAAATATCTGATATGCAGGATGGTCTTAGGTGACCCCTGTGAAAGGGTCGTTCAACTGCCAAAGGAGTCTCGACCCACAGGTTGAGAACCGCTGGTTTACAGGAAGAAAAGGTTTCGCTTGGGTAGCTATCAAAGGGGAAAAGGAAGGTGGTAGATCTTACCAAAAGGAAAGGTAGGGAGAGGTGTTCTTCCCAGAACCACTTGAGAGGGTCTGTGTTACTGTATTACTTGTGAAACATTCAACAAAGTCTTAGTAATTATCAACTACCTGCAAGCAAAGGGCTCTGGACAATACTCGCTAACTTACTTTCCAAAGTTAACTTGCACGTGTAGGCAATTAAATATTTTATCCCAAAGACGCATTAGCACATTTTCTTCTGTGTTAGATGATCACATTAGAAATTAGACAATCTGTTTAAAAGTTTAAATTTTTGCCTATTCACTGAGCCAAACCAGGTTCGATTCCCGTCAAGGGCATGTACCTTGGTTGCGGGCACATCCCCAGTAGGGGCTGTACAGGAGGCAGCTGATCGATCTCTCCCATCAGTGTTTCTAACTCTCTATCCCTCTCCCTTCTTCTCTGTAAAAAATCAATAAAATATATTTTTTAAAAAAAGTTTAAATTTTTTAAAGTAAAGTGAAAACAGGTTAAAAGAAAAAAGCCACAAAAGGAACGATGTTTGGATCAGGAATACAAAGAGCTGCGAGGTTATTAAAGGAAGGAAAATGGGCCCTAGCCAGTTTGGCTCAATGAATAGAGCATCAGCCTGCGGACCAAAGGTCCAGGGTTCGATTCTGGTAAAGGGCACATACCTTGGTTGCAGGTTCCTCCCCAGCCCGGGCCTTCGATCGAGACTCGTGCAGGAGGCACCAATTGAATTGTTTCTCTTACATCAATATTTCTCTGTCTTACCGAACCTCTCACTTTCACTCTCTCTAAAAATCAATGGAAAAATATCCTTGGGTGAGGATTAAAAAATAAATAAAAAATAAAGGAAGGAAAATGCTGGGGAAACCTTTCATGGAGAGGGCGTCAGCTTAGAGTACTGACATTTATTTAAAAAGCTTACCATCAGCACTAGGTGACAAAAAGTCATAAGAGGATGGATATCAAATATCATTATTTCATGTAAATTAAGACCCCGGTGAATGTAAGGCACACCAATACTTTATGTTCCACTAAGAAAGAAGAAAAACACTGCTATAGATTATAATTATCTTCGAACACCAAGTTCAGAGATTTTAAAATACGAAAATACAGGTGTTAGAACCATAAGATATGGTCATTTAAAAATAATTTCCTAAGTAAAATTATTATGACACATTATAGGACAGAAATACTTGTTGATATTTTTAAAGAACTTTCTACTTTTTAAAAAGTATACTTAATATCATCTCAGTTATCCTCGTAACTCCAGTATTTCCAGTTTACGGAC